TTTTTCTTTCCTGTTATTGCCTTATCAATATTGTAGATTCAGATAAGTGACTTTTCAGTATCTGTACTACCCCAACCCACCTAACCACATCACTGCGTACACTTACAATACACCTATTTACTTTATGACATATACTCGATTACTTATAATTGTCTATGAAGTAGTCAACTCACTTTCTTATAAACAAAACTAGTCAATCCAGTGTATACTGGAGTAAGAGATACTATCGGATATATGTTATTTTAATATGTTTTATTCACCTATTGTTAACAGAAATCCATCAATCTTATGTCTTTTTCTACATTACAGTAAGCTACTTAGCATGTGATTTAGTGTGACTGTGTCTGGTTTACCTTGACTCGCTGCTGCAATCTTTCGGGTTACAAGTTCGAATCCCACCTTGATTTACTCAGTCATACTAAATGAGGCTTAGAATGACAGTTTACTGACCTGTATTATTTATTCATTTGTTCCAGCCTAGATTTGCTACTCCATAATGCTCATCAGCAGAGTGTTTACATTTTAATGAATTTATGTTGGCTAACTTTGACACTTCTGGACATTTGAGTCTGTGGATTGTAAATATACTATGTATATAGGTCACAAAAGCAGGCACATTGTATAAAGTGTACTCCAATCGAAATGGAAGTGCATCCAACAAACAAGTGCACGTTCATTCAGTAGACAGTGAACCACACATGTTATGTGGGGGCTAATGAGATTAACTGGCTGTCCACACCTCGGTAGACGAGCACGGTTCGAACCCGTAACTTACTCATCAACAGCTTGAACCAATAAGCCGCAGCTCGACACATACTCAATTAAAGCTAAGTTCTACACTTCACACGCCACAATGAATGTGAATTAGTAATACGAATAGAAAATTAGTAGTATGACTGATAATAGTCAGCCAAAAATTATTAGAAGGAATCAAACATAAAAAGGTAAAAACTAAGATGAATGACCTGTGGGCTAACCAAAAAATAATGTAGTTGCAATAAATATGTTGATTTCAGTTATCTTGAAGATTATAATCAAGAAACTCTCAGTTCCCACAGACTACAATTAATACTTAGTAATTTCCTACTGTTTCAGTGTAATCAGTTTAAGATTCCGTAACCTAGTGTGTCATGATAATTTTGAGCCCAGCTTGCCTATTACTTGTCCCAGTGACATCAGTTGATACAGTTGTACAACATCGTTAATTGCATTAGGTTATTATCCAGCGCTCTACACCTAATCTCAGCATTGTCAACTCAGTGGTTCCACTACACAAGAGCTATGATTAAAAGGCATTAGTGGTGAAAATTCAGTGATATTTTTATGTCTCACATAGGTTGTCTTTTTTCAAACTGAATCTGTAGTGGGCGTTACTAATAAGAATGGATATAAGTAATATATGTTGAGGGGGTGGCAGGAATCATTGGGAATTACCAGAAATGGGTAAGAATTCTGCCAAGAGCAACGCAAGGGATAACGCAGGCGTATTACAGTGGATGCTTCTGATAAGAATGTATGAAGAGCAAGTTAGGAGAGAAATAGAAGAGGGAACGAAGTCCATTTTGCAAATGACGAGTTTAGTGCAAGGTGTACCGTTCCAATTGTTGATAATAAACATTCTTTCCGTTTCGAAAACACCGAGAGGCGATGACAGACACGACGAAACTCTAGTCGTTACACCTTGCACTAAACTCGTCATTTGCAAAATGGACTTCGTTTCCTCTTCTGTTTCTCTCCTGATTTGCTCTTCATACATTCTTATCAGCAGCATTCACTGTAATACGCCTGCGTTATCCCTTGCGTTGCTCTTGGCAGAATTCTTACCCATTTCTGGTAATTCCCAATGATTCCTGCCACCCTCTAAATATATACTACTACTTATCAGCAACGCCCACTACAAATCCTCAAAAAGATAGATGTTCACCTGGATCATGGAGGGTGTTGGTCGGTAAAATCAAATAGGTCTTTCGTTTTTGTGTCAAGTTTTCATCGGTTTTTTGAATCGAGTTGACTTTGTATATTCTTATGTTACATTAATGCATACTTTCCACTCTTACATTTTATATAGAAGCCAAAGCGAAGGAGATAAAGGGATCTGAACTTATTCTGGACACCTTTGCATTATGACTGACTGTGTGTCAAGGGAATACATCACCATTTTACTCTGTTTATTAGATTTGTCACCCAGTGAAACTTACTGAATAATGTTTCCGACATAATTTGTTGTCCATTTTCAAACCAGATAGCTCCAAAACTTTGAGACATGATTTATAGGGTTCTAATTCTCTTTCCTTTGAATGGAATCCGAATGACCAACAAATAGGAATGGTTCTACACTATTCCTAGATATACGGAAGACTACTACCCTTGGCAAAAAGAGGGGGAAAGAGAATTAGGAGTATAGAAACCATATCTCAAAGTTGTGGAGTTACCTGATATGACTATGGGCAATAAATTATGTTCGAAACGTCGTTATCCAGTAAGTAATACTGTTTCACTGTATAGAATAGAATTATAACCTTTCATAGTGCTCAAGTTTTACTCCTAGACTGCATTTCTACAATCCCTTCATCTAAAAAGAATGAGTGGTTTGTAGACCCTAAATTAACAAGAGGATGTCATAGAAGTTACCAGTCTCTGATGAGATGAGAAAAGGAAACATCACTTCTAGAGGTATATCTTTTAAAGAGATGAATTTAGGTGAATAGAGTGAACGGATCTCAGGTAACCTCTTTTCATCTGCAATTTTACTGCAAAACACCAAATTGTGATACGTGTAGTTAACAACAAGCTGCGTACGCAATAAGCTGGCGGTGAAAAGTGATATAAACAACTGGTTAGGTTTTAAAAGGCAATTAATGGTTAATAAGCATTTGCGTAGTAGGTGAGCGAAACATTTTAAAAACTCGGTACAGTTATATAAAACTAGTGTGTGTGAACTTACTGAAAAGAATTATTCATATGGGGAGTACTGTAGTTGCATGCGTCTTACGTAATCCACTATAACTCATTTAACTTAAGTTTCTACTTAAACGAATTCTCTCGTACTTTAAACCAGCTCAAAGTAGTTTAAAATCTTTACTTTGCAATATAAAGAGACAGAAAAAGATTATTGGAGAATGCCATACAGAAGTGTATAAATTCAATATATCTGTCACATATCATAGCAACACAAAAGGAGAAAGTCAACAGAAATAGAAAGGTAATAAAATGAATAAGGTGATATTCATCACAGACTGAAGTCAATTGGGAAACTTAAAATTTTGGGGAGCACTGGGGCAGCTTTTTTGCCCTCTTATGGGACATTTGTAAAGTGCGCACCCCTGTGGTTACCAGAGGTTGAAACTAGGATCTTCAGGTTTCGCGGTGAGCTCCACGTTTTTCTACTTCTAGCAACTTGAAATCAATAAATACTCAGAAATCTCCAAACTGAATTACTGCCCAGTGCCCATCAGTAACTTGATATGAGATGAAATTTCTCAAAGTTCTAATTGCAAGTTGTGACCGGTGGGGCAAACGATTTCGGATGTGAAAACAAATACTCAACAATGGCGCTGGATGAAGGTCGTGCTATATCGCGACTTGACAGTGGCTCAATGGTAATGTGCTCGTCACGAAACACGGAGGTCCTAAAAGCGGTCCCCGGAGAGGTCCTAGATGTTCACTGCTGGAGAGTTCCATACTACTAAGGCGAAGCAGCTGTTCATTGCTCCCAGGTTTCCAATGGTTCTCCAACTTACGACAGTCCGTGATGAATGCAAACTCGAAATCAATAAATAAGTCTCTCCATCAATCAATCGATCAACCAATCAATATCAACATAGGACCAGGCATTACTGAGTAACGTTCCGAGTTGCCACACCTCATATCAGTGCATCAAGTAGAAAGGTAGTGAGGTGAAGGATGAAGATAAGAGAATGCAGTCAAAAGAAATATAAAGTACGAGAAGAAAGGAAAGAGGAATGACAAAATGGTGAGATTCTGTATAGCGTTGTTAAGATGAGGATAATGTGTGTATGCGTCTGCGCCACTGACATCGGTTCTGATCCATATCACCTAGAGTCTCCAACCACTGGTTCCTAAATAAGTCTCTACAAACCTTCAAACGGAATAAATGTAATATTGAAGGGGGAAATGATTTTCGTTGAGTATAAATGAGATAGCTAAGCTTCAATGGAAGTGTGGTCTGTACTGTCTGTACTGTTGCAATTGATTTAGTTACAAGTCACCTTGAAAATTTCAACCATGGATTTTTAAAATCTATTAAAATAACTTTCATTATAAATGTAACTCTTTCTAATAAATTACTGAGTTCTGGTGCATACGGTATTGGGAATTATCTGTTTCCTGGTTATTGATATGCTGTTATGTTAAGTGGGTGGGGGCAGCCATCAGAAATTCATGAATCTGATTTTTATGCTTGTGATCACTCTTCAGCAAGGTATATTTTTGAGACTTCACAGGAACTAAACAACCTTCATTCAATTATTTTCAGACTTAGCATCACTGCGTAAAGGTTCACGTTGCCATATCTCATTTCAGTACATCAGAATGGGAGTCATCGAAATTATTAGATAGAAAGATAATGAAGAAAGTAATCAAAGAGTCGAAAAAAGACAGGAACAAAGAATAAAACAATAGTGAATTTCGGAGTGACGATTAAACTGAAGATGATGTGTGAATGCATCTACACACCTGAGATATCTTTACTTGTATCTTTCAACCTTACAGAGAGTTTACTACTGAGCTATTCATTGGTATAGGATTTTCTACCGATCACCTCCCACAACCCAACGTCAATCAAAGAGCATGGTGGTGGTAAGTTTCCTCAAGTCCTGTTAGTATATAGGACTAAAAAATATGAAATTGATTTACTCTTCAGAGACCAATTAATGTATATATTATTCTATTCTTTCCAATTGTCCCATATTCTTATGTATATATATTCATTTTATTGAACATTGTTTATTTTTTGTATACATCCACTTTTTCTTAATCAGGTGGATACGATGGTACTACTCAGCTACGGACAGTTGAATGTTTTAAACCTGTTGATCAAAATGACTATGAACAATTGTCAAATGAAACTTGTCGATTAAAACATGATACACCATTTAATTTACTCTGTAAACGTGCTACATCATCAATTGTTGCTGGTGGTAATGGTTGTTGTAGCACTGGTGGTGATGTTACTCCTGAAATTCCTAAATTTCTTTACAATTCTGATAATCTTTCGTGTTCTAATAATTCAGATATTGAGTCAATTTCTTCATTAAATTCAACTGAAGGGTATACATTTGGAGATACAAGAAATCAGGTGAGAATTTATGCTTATTTCTTTGATTATTAATTTACAAAGTTTATCAGTATATATTTATTCACTCACACCTTACAGCTATACAGTTAACCAGGGGTTTGCAAAGTAAGTAATACTAACAATGAATAAAGTAGAATATTTTAGCTATTCTCGAAAAATGTTCCTACCCTTAATATCCCATACCTGTTTGAATTGCAAAGATTGTCATAAAACGAGGTTGGCTAATGCCTGTATGATTGCATAAAATGAAATTGGTTAACCTCCAACAACTAATTAATATATGTATTCCACTCATACAGGGACTAATCTTTGCTTGAATAGATCCGTTTTAAAGCCGCTGATTGCAGTAATTAGTTAAACAGATTTGAATATCTGATACTACCTGGCTACCCAAACCTCGGTAGGTAGGGTGATGTTCGAACCGGTGATCTAGTGGTTGAAAGCAAACTCTCTGGGTCAATGAACCACGGATCTACTCAAATATTATGAACTAAACTTTAAAGTTTGAGTATAATTGTTTTTATGTGACGCCGTCGTTGCTTGGACCGAATTGAAGTGGCCATCGTGGCTCGGTGGTGTAGTGGATAACGCTCTGGCATTTGAAGCGATAGCTCCCGAGTGCGAATCCTGGTGGGGACAACATCACTCACTAGGAAGCAGGTACATCTAGCTGACGAGTCCCAAATAGGACGAAATGTGCATCCTGGAATCCACTGCTAGCCACAACCCGTCATTATTGTAAACTTTAAACTTCACAAAATTCTATGTAAGTGGTTGATTGCTCGGAATGTTGATTTCTATCTGAACCACTTCCTGATAAACTAGTGTTGTCTTACACTACTGAGTATATAAAATAGTAATAATAACACTATAGTAATCCAATTACCTAATGTCATTAACGAGACATAATTTTTAAATATTTCTAATGAGAGTACAATCTCGTTGAATATTGCGTGTAGCATGGCCTTTTTTCTGACATCATTGTAGACATCATTTCCAGTCCTGTAGAAGAGTATATATTGGAGTAACAAGAAATTTTGTCAGTGATACTGTGCAAATGTTTTTTCATCGATTTGGGGTTGAAAAAGTTATACAGTGCTGTTGAGCGTTCGTTAAGTGCTCATAAGGCTTCAATTACTGACTGATTACGCTTTCAATGTATAATTGTCACTGAAACCCAATTTGGATGATGATAACGAAGGCTATTCGACTACACACTAGTTCATTATAATGTCGTATTGTGTATGTGACAACCATATTGGTGTTGCCGCTATACAAAAGATGCAACCTGTAATAACATAACTATTCAACAATTAGCAATTGATCAGGATCATAATGGAAGGTCACAGGGTATTCAATGAATTCTTGCTAACAGTAGAAACATTAATATAGTTTGACTTTGATTATGTCAACCAGTGATAATGTTGAATTTCACTGCTCTTGAAACTCATCATGGTTAGTGACTAATAGACAGAAGTTGAATAGTTCACCGGACAGTAGCTAAGGTGGCTCTTAAACCTTGAGTTGATAGCAATCTGTTAATCAAGTTCACTCTTTGATCACGAGATTATATGAAGTGACAATACCGTGCATCATGTTTAGTTTTAAAGGATGGAAGGAATCCCCGCGCGACAAAGTTTCGTTCTTATTGAAGATTATTAGAAATGCATAGCTTCAACCTGTAGAAACCCACGCCTTTCAAAAACCGTATCAATTAGTTCTGGATTTTTGTTCGTCATTACTAAGCTGTTCAGTTTGAAGGTAATGACTTCAAACTACCAGACCAAGTGGTACATTAATGATAATTACTAAATGGATGCAAGTTAACAAATGAGAGTATAACTTTTCGCTACGTCAACTAGAGGTGCCTGGTATGATTATTTTGATAAGTATTCCATACTATCAGCAGTTTCTGTACACTCCAAGAATAACCTGTTATAACACCGTGGCGAGGCTGTAGCTTACTGGTTGAACATGAGACTTCCTCTAACTGTTTCACAAGTTCGTATCTCCAGTCTACCATATAGAAAAATCAGCTACTCTACAAGAAGTGTATCTCAGTCCAACGAACGATTATGTTGATGATAACCGAGGAGCAGCTTTGTTTAAGTGGTTGAAAAAGGTATGCTGAAAGTAATATTCTTTGAAAACGTTTCGTTTACTTATAAGTAGCCACTATGTATATTTCTTAATTATTAGTTTGGATTTAAGGGTAATATTCTGGAGAAATTCCATCTTACCTGTTTGTGGCACAATAACTTAGTTTTATGTAGAAGGTAACTGTTGAGTTTTGAAGTTGCTCGATGTTAACTGCAAATAGTAATTAGCCAGTAGAGCTCATTGGTATAGTCGATTGACTTAAAGCCACCAAGGCACGGGTTCGAATCTCACCCAACCTATTCAGGTTTTGTAACCTGGACGGTGACATAAGCCCTCACACAATAAGTTTGACTCCTTAGCTAGTTACTTATCACCAAATTTTTGAAGTTATAATTAGACAAACAAACAAGATGGTGTAAAAATTCTCATGGAATCCACTATCATTCCAGCTCAAGAAAATGGAACCAACGTAATTGGCAATATTTCATAGTACATAAAAAGGACATTGGTGCAGCTGTTTCATATTCACCTTAAGCAATGTTACCTAGGATGACCAATTACTTACTATTATTATCTGACATATATTATACGAAAGGTTGTACACTTTTCCATGCATCTCATGTTACGGTACGCATCTTGGTTCTATCATCATCAAACCTTTCGTGTCTACTGACGCCTCAGTCCACAGTGCATTTAAGCGTAGCTGATTTCTTAATACGCCTAGCTGTATATATCAACTAATTCAATCAGTCAAGGGTTACAAACCCATTAAGTACCTCAGCATTTTTGACGCGATAATTGCAGTATGTGCATCTTTCGGTTATACAGTCACACAAAAAAAATCAGCTACTCATTATACGCATGGCTTAATATGGGCATTGGAATATGTCTACGACACTATAAATGCATTAGATTATTAAATACCAAGGGAAAGTTCTGTATTTATACCGTATTGGAACTGAAGTAGACTTTTCCGAATAATCAATATCCAACATACTTTACAGTGGTACACGGTTTCATAAAGTATTAGTTCATTTTTGTATTTTCAGATAATTAGTCGGTTAGCGCTCGTACAATTCGATGTGTATTAAACGAATGACAATGTATGAATAGAAGACTGGAAATTATTGTGACCGTTCACTTAAATTGGTTAGGCTTTTGGTTTATCAGCATCTTCTTTCCATTGTTCATATATGTAATGGGACCAAGTACTGAACAATGTTGATATTACGTGTGAAGTGGTAGTTCAGCAAGGTTATTCAATTGAAACTGTTATAGGTCAGATGAAGTGGTTAGGACTTACGTTTTGGATGATGACGCACTGTCTACACGGATCTGTTGACTGAAGTAGCATTAGTTTAGAAGAGAGCTAAGTTTGGTGATTCCAAAGTATAGCATCCATCCATGAAATATTTGACTGTTGGTCTGAGTCTTTGACAGGAAGACTGCCTGACTGACTGGAATCGTTGAGGTATCAAACATCAGTAGTCTCAAGCATTCAGTGATAATTTATAATAGGTCACAGTAGCACACATCCGCTACCTTCTTATCACCTTGGAAATCCTAACCGTCTTAATAAATTTCACTTTTTGTAGTAATGATGCTTGTAATTTCCCGTTGCTATACAGGGTCGAATTGCTCGACCTATGTTGGCAGATAAGCTCCTATGTGGATGCCTCTATACTGGCGGATATTCATGATGTTATATTGATCTTGGTGACTAACAGAGTAATCCAAGGGGCACGTTTCGTCCCGTTTGAGACTCGTCAGCTGGATGTGTCTGCATCGCAGTGACCGATATTGTTCCCACTGGGACTCGAACCCAGTACCCCTCGCTCCAAACGCCTCTGCTAGTCACGAAGATCAATATATCATCATGAATACCAGGCAGTATCAAGGTATTCGTATAGGAGCCCATCTTCCAATAGAGGTTGGGCTATACGACCTGTATATCAACGGGGAATTACATGTATCATTATAACAACTGATACCGTTGTACAACAGGGGGCTGCCAGGCCCCAGTGGCTCAGTGGGTAACGCTCTGGCGTTTGAAGTGAAGGGTACTGGGTCCGAACCCCAGTGGGAACAACATCACTAACTGTAATGCAGGTTCATCCAGCTGACTAGTCCCGCTTAAGACGAAACGCGCATTCTGGATTATTCTGCTAGTCACCAAGATCAATATAAGGTTCACTTTTCTTTGAATTCTCTCCTGTGTCATTTCTCTGGATGCATTCAAAAGTATCCTTTTACTCCTGTTTATTTTTTCTCTTCCTGTTTGGTTGTCGAGTTAGACATGTTCAGTTGAAACACTTTTTACTAGAACCTTTAGTTCTGTTTGTCATGTGGAGATTATAGTTAAGTTATCCCACGTCTTAATTTTTGTTTACAAGTGGTAAATAATTCAGTTACATTCCAGTATATAACATTTATATTACATAAAAACGAATCGTGTTTCATCAGTAGCAAATTAGATGATCCGTACTAGATATCGTTAGAGTGTTGTTGCTGGGACGTTATTTCCCACAAAACAAAACTTTTCGTTTGAGCACTAAATCAAATGATTAAGCTGTGTGAGTTGTTCATTTTGATGATTCAAAAAATAACCTGGCTGATGCACTCATTTGTTCAAATTACTGTAGTTCATAGGATGACTTTTTTGATGATAAAGAGAGATCGGCGATTCACTCTTTTGATGACTCCTTAGACCAACGATGGAAATTCTGGATTCATCGTGCCTTCAAAATCACTCTACAATCTCACCATCCCTTTACATCCAAATGAGCATTGACTGTGAGAATTTCGCATCCTTTTAAAAACCTTCAGTATAGGAACATAGTTGTTTTTGATACTGATCTCGATTTATGAGAATCATTCACAGAAAATCTTAAATAAAAGGTTCGATATTCATCTTCATTGTGATTTTTGTTGAGAAACTTTTGCTATCATACTGAATAGTATTCTCAACTGACACCTCGTTCTTATGAGTTACAAATTTCCACTATCGATACATGTTCAACTGTCAACCACTTACTTATGGTTTCAGACTAAGACATTGATTTGTCACGGAAGAGCAACCAATTTCATGTTGTCAAGTTCTGAGTGGTGATACCAATCAATGTGCACTGGGATGGTGAGCCTTCTAGCTTGGATGGCCACATTGCAAAATGATTGATAGGATTCTGTCAACATGAAATTAGTTGCTCTCCCGTGACCAGTCAGTGTACGTAACCCAATCCTTCAGAAGGTCAACCACGACCCAAATAGCTTAATAGTAACGTCTGACTACAACGCTGGGCGGTGCGGGTTCGGACCTAAAGGGAGATACCAGTTGATTTAAAGGGTGCAGATATGCCATACTGACGAGTGCCAGGAAGTGCAAAACAGGTCGAGCAGGGCTTCCTATCGACAGGTTTCAAACTAAATTCGCCTTTTTCATTCACTATCTATGCAATATGAGTTGGTCATTACCTAGTACGTAAAAACATATTGATGATTCTTAGGCTGTACTAAGTAATATACTATAACATATTAGCAGTTAATACTTCATTTGAAACGATATCGGTTCTGCAGTTACGGAAGATTAAGCGTGATGGAAGAGAAACAGTTTGAAGATATGTCCAACAACATGCATATTCGTTACTTTAGGATCAACTTGTCAGGTTTTGTTGTTGACCTAAGTGAAATCAAAATATGATGTAATCGTCATCCAATCCTGCTACCGGTTTGTTGTTACTTGTATTATCTCGTCGTTCATTGGACAGAATTGATCGGTCTCTGTTAGTATATGGGCTCCTGCACGGATGACTCAATGTCGCTTGTGTTCCAACCATATGTTAATGACGGTTAGTGACTAGAAGTGGAATCCAGGACGCACGTCTTTGGGACTCGTCAGCTGGATCTCAGTGAACGATGTTATTCTCGCTAAGATGCGAACCCGGGACCGATCACTTCAAACGTCAGAGTGTTATCCACTAGGCCACCTAGTCACAATAGCCACTACTTAAGTGACGCGTATTGCTTGTATGTTGTTACTTATTACGATGAGATAATACAAGTAACAACGCACAAACTATACCCATCGCATAAGAAGTGGCTATCGTGACTCGGTGGCCTAATGGATAACACCCTGGGATTCGAAGCGATCGGTCCCGAGATCGAGCCTTATTAGGAACAACATTACTCTTTGGGAGGCAGGTAATCCCAGCTGATGAGTCGCAAATAGGTCGAAACTCACTTTTTGGATTTCATTGTTAGCCATCACCCATCATTAATATGTAATGATAACCTATTCTTGTATTCAGTTTTTATAAGTTGAATTCATTTCAACTTGTTTTTTAATCTATGTTTTAGGTGCCTATCGTATTAGAAAAACCCAAACGTCGTGCAAATAATCCTAAAGTATCAGTTTCATCTGGTACTGCTGCTGGAGGTGGGGGTATGACTTCAACATCTTCCACATCTTCATCGAATCCGTTTGCCGATTGGCAGTGGTCATTCGCACCACCCTTGATTGCTCATGAAGGATGGGTTGGTATATGTGTTCTTCCATTAGATCAATCACCACAGACGACAACTGAATCTGATTGTAATTTATACGATATTAGAAAATATTGAATATTCTTTTGTTTCTTCCCTGTCAACTGTCTTACCCAAGGATAGATTTATTACTAATGTTACTTGTTGACATGTTATGCATACTATTTTGGTGACATTCACGTATGTATCATTTTATGGCATTTGTGTATGTATGTGTTACTTATCGGTGCTTTTAGTATCGAATATGTGCAATATACCTTAACTAAAATCTTTTTGTAAGTACACTGTGGTGTATAAACTCTTGATGATAATTTTTCTCCATAGTAGTAAGTGGATTTGTTCCTTGTTTTCTTCATTTTGTGTGCATGTGTTTGTAAATAATTGGTTGATTATTTGATGGTATAACTCCTTACCGTTACTTCTTTTGTTTAACATTAGTTTATAGACTTTTCATTCTCTTCTTTCCTTTTGATTCCTTTGTTTCATTTTACTTATTTGTGTGTGTGTATATTTGTGTATGTTCAGGTGTAGTATATCAACTCAACTGATAACCACGTTAGCATATTGTATTCACATTGGGTGATGGTTGAAGGTAAAATGAAAATTTGGACCGCTGCCGGATTCGAACCAGTGACCACCGGTCACCGATCATCTCATCTTCAATCATCACCCAGTATAAATACTTGTCTACCAAACTACGGTTATCTCAGATAGTCAAATGATATTGTATTCAATCATCACTAGTTATTATCACTTCAGAGATATTTTCTTTCACTGTTGGCTGATGAATTATTCCACGCTGTTAAATCGAATAGTTGATAGATGGATACCTTTCACACAATACTGTTTCAATACTTACTGTTTTGTAAGCTTTACTACTCTGCATTCTCATAATCACTTTCGACTTTACGATATCTACATTCATATGTCTGTTTTACTTTCTTCCTGTCTGTCTGCTTTCCTTTTCTTGTCTGTCGGTCTGTCTATTTCTATATTTCTTATCCCTTTAGTGGGACCAAGATATTACCTACTCGTCTAGTCATTCACTTGATATTTCTCAAAGGAAATAACATTTCTTCCATTGTGTTTTTCTTCGTCATTTGTTTGCTTGTTTTCTTTTCGACTTGGTTCTCGAAGCCAAAATATAAAAAACTTACTGATTATCTGTGTAAACACGAAGGTCATTGACTTGGTTTAGTTTTCTATTCCATTTTCTTATGTGTGTATATGTGTGTCTAGATGTTTGTTTGGTCGAAAAATCTAAATAAATAAATCAATATTCAAAATTTGTTTCTACCTAAAATGTTTTCTTGTTATGTATGTAACCATGCTGAGAAATTCAACTAAAGGACTTTGCTGTTTTTTGCTTTTCTGTGAAAACATTACTTTCATTATTATTATTATCATTATTTTTCTTTGAGTTCGAATTTTATAATTTCACTTTCTCTGTATAAAGTTGTAATGTTTTGCGTTTAATGTGATTTGTCTGTTAAATAAATAACAATACCGAAAATACCTATTATGACGTTAGAAACAAACAGAAGTTCAGTGAAGGTAACGGTTTTTTGCAATTTCATTATTAACAAATCACAAGAAAGTATCAAACTTGAAGGCTAACAAAGTATCAAAGTAACATAATTGAACTATAAGTGTTAAGCTATAGAGAATGAATTCACCGGAATGGTGTATTCGTTGAACTAGTTGTTTTCTAGGAATAAATGCATGTTGTACTGACTACTCTAAGTATTTCTTATTTCTCCATTCTTATTGAATTTTGTCATAGATATTCTTATGGAGGTCTCCCTCTCATCACCAGGTTACACAGACGTTGACCTAATCACAGGAGAATTTTCGTTAGACCTAGAATGTGCAGATGATATAGTCCTGTTAAGTGAAGACGCTGACAAGATGCAGAGTCTTCTAAACACTTTGAGTGGGAATTTGAGAATGTTTGGGATGCGTTTCTCACCACGCAAATGGAAATTTTTGCTCCAGGACTGGTCTTCAGTGGTGCCGCGGCTAACAATAGACAGTGAAGTGGTTGAGTGTGTTGACCACTTCAGTTACCTGGGAAGTAGGATCAGCCCTGGTGGGTTAGTTGCCGATGAGATTTCTGCACGGATACAAAAGGCTCGATTGGCTTTTGCCAATTTACGCCACCTATGGCGCCGCCGTGATATCCGTTTGTCTATTAAGGGTCGCGTGTACTGCACAGCAGTCCGCTCTGTTCTACTGTATGGCTGTGAAACATGGCGATTGAAGGTGGAAGATATGAGAAGGCTTCAAATGTTTGACCACCGTTGCCTTCGTAGTATAGGCCGTATTCCGTGGTTTCACCACGTGAGTAATGCAGAAGTCAGGAGTAGAGTTTTAGGGAGAAGAGGTAAATCAGTTGACGAGGTTATGAACCTTCATCGATTGAGATGGTTGGGACACGTACTACGTATGCCCAGTCACCGATTGCCTCGTCACACAATGTTGGCTAAAGTAGGCCCAAGCTGAGGAAAGGCTCGAGGTGGCCAGACTAAAACATGGCACCAATGTATGAAGTCTCTGACTGTTGGTTTAAGCCATGTGGGGTGATGCAGACTAGGTGGTTGGGGTCCGCGGGACAAGAGGAACCAGTGGTTGGAGACTAGGTGATATGGCTCAGAACCGATGTCAGTGGCGCAGATGTATACACACATTATCCTCATCTTAACAACGCTATACCGAATCTCACCATTGCCATTCCTCTTTCCTTTCTTCTCATACTTTATATTTCTTTTGACTGCATTCTCTTATCTTCATCCTTCACCTCACTACCTTTCAACTTGATGAACTGACGTGAGGTGTGGCAACTCGGACCGTTACTCAGTAATGCCTGGTCCTATGTTGATATTGATTGATTGGTGACGATTAATTGCTCTTATTATTATTATTATTATTGAAGTTAGTCACTATCATTGTATGAACTGACCGGTTGCGTAACGACTTAAGTGACAGCCTCTCACATTGAAGTACAAAGCTTCAAAATGAAATACAGAGAAAAAGAAATGTAATCAAAAGTTGTAGAAAGCTCGGCTGTAAAATGAAGAAGAGTTAAGCAAAATAAAATATAACAATTGGAATAAAGATAATGTAGGGATACATCTTTACCGTTTGGATAAGTTCTGAACCATATCACCTAGAGTCTGCAACCACTGATTTTGATTGTCATGTGGAGTCGCAATCTGGAAGTTCACATTTCGTTATACGGCGTAGAGCAGAGTTACCCTCACCTTCCTTCAGAACCAACCATTCTTAAGCATTGGTATGTGTAAAATATATCTAGGTCGATAAAGATTCATGAAGTTGTTAACTAACTTATCCCCTCAACCCTAAGAGTCTACGAAGTAATTTCTATATTACTAACGTAATGATTCCATGACACAAACAATGATGTGAGGTTAACGATGGTAGTTACAAGCAGTCTTCCTATGTCCCTTAACTGAAAATGGCTTTGTTTCAAAGCCATAGAGCAAGTCAGAGCAAACTGCTGCTTAGTACAATGAAGCCTTAGTATGCAACAGTCTTTTCTCAATGTCGGAAGCAGCATAGCTCGACAGAGGTCAGTCAAGCCTTTTTTTATCCTAACTATATTTCGTCGACCACTCACCCACAACAGCTAGTCTGACAACCTAAGTATGTGAAGCTAAAAACGTTGCTTTATATTGTTATATATCTTCTTAAGTAGTCAGATAGTGTTTCGAATACATGAGTTAGTTTTCCACTATATATCTGCAGAGTTGTAGAACTGGATGCTTCTATGTTTTACTGTTTCCACTTTGCCTATCAAACTGCATAACATGACAAAATGGCGTATTCAATGAGGTCAACGGTAAAGCCGCATTTTGGCTTCCGATTTTTCACAAACCTTCTAAACGCTTGTCAAACAGATGAAAGCTAATCATACTTCGAATTATCTAGTTGGTAGAAACAAAGATGAGTAGAAAAATGTGAAAAACAGGAAATTTTACATATATATATATATATATATATATAATGCACAACCCATGGCCAAGTTTTGCATTGACTAGCAATGGACTCCATGAATCACTTTTCATCCCTGTCAGGGTTCCTCAGTTCAAGATATCTGGACATCAGTAAATATAAGCGTCTTCGCTGAAACTCGAGCACAATAAATGTCGCTCTACATACAAGAGTTTAATTCATGCTGTTACTTTTTTATGGTAGGCGTCTTAAGTAAGAGTTAATTAACTGATAAGCCTTTAAGGAGGTGATAATGATGGGACAAGTGTATGAAGGCAAGTGGTTGATAGTCTCATATTATCAAGCTAAGAAGAATGCATAGAAATGATTCCTTACGTTATTCCGTTATCACTCTGTCAAGAGATGGGACACTGCTTTTGATAAAGGCAGATAATAATATACTAAATTCTAAATACCCCTGATTTTGCAAAACGTTTACCTCATGTTTGCCTGTAACCTTAGAAATAACTTGTTATTGCTATTTTCACACAGTTGCTAGCTTTTGTTTTCCCACTGCTTTGAAGGCTGAAATCTCACTGGTTGTTAGCTCTTCTAACCTAAATGTGAATTTGGTATTGTTATGGTCGTTTAGAAACGTAAATATTCAGCATCTCTTTCAACTGTTTCTAGTGTTGTTGAGACAGTAAAAGCTTTCTGTCAACGGTCTATCTTCTCTTCTTGTCTTCACATGTTGGTGGTATTATTGTTGTGGTAGTTGACGTTCTGATTAGCGTTCAGAATCGATTCATTTTGCGCAATAGGTTCGTGTCGCTCTTGTAGACTGCTAGGCTTGTATCGTTTGTAGACTGTTAAGTCGCACTACCGGTTATAACATTAAATCTAGACCTGCACATTTTAAACCTTCTCAGGCTATTCTGAACTCAACTCTAATGAGTTGAGTTCAAGTGAATTGATACAGCTCAAAAAGATAAGTCACTCTGACTTGGCACTCATTTTGTTGTGCTCACCTCGGTTAATTTGTAAACACCTATTTTCGCAGAAAAAAATCCTTAGTTAATGTATATAACATTTAACCACTAACTTTGTTGGTCTATCATTAGCTTTTCCTCGTTGTGCTGCACCATATGATCTTCGAAGTACTTTGAACCATATGACTTTCTAATTCACTACCGTCTTCTCATATTTTATTGACATCGAATCCAATTCAAGCAACTATATTGCCATAAATTCAAATTTGCTTTCATCACATATTGTAGGTATCCGAAGGAACAGTTCAAGCGTGAACGACTGCTCTGCCTTCGATTAAGATTCTTCAGATGATTGGATGATAACCTTTTAAGAGAGGTGTCTGGAATATTGAGTGGAATAATCTGAAGAACAATTTAATTATCTTACAACCTCACCGTAGTTACCCATCATTAAAGCCTAGTCAGAAATGTATACAGATATCCGTCGTCAAGCTCTCGTCGAATACTAGGCAAGGAAAGCAAGTTAGTTAATTATGTTGTGAATCTATACTCTTGGAAGTGTTTTGAGCCACTGCCATCTTTGATCTACCATATAGACTGAAGAGTGGTAACAGTAAGACATGGCATCAATGCATGAACCATTTGACTGATAGAGTGTTGGCTGTCACCTTGATGTAGTTGTTACGAATCAAAGTTTGGAAAGTCTTGATAATTTGACTCAAAAATCAACTTGCGTGAAAATATATTCATAAATTGCTGACGAATTCGGAAAGTCATATGGGATTATTTATTCATATCATTTACTTGACATTCGCCAGAAGGGTGCATCTGCATCCTCGACGTAACTGACGTCTCGCCTGAGGTCTGAACCCGTGTCACCCACTGTTACAGTCAGAGACGTTATCACTGAGCCATTCGGGCCGCTATCGACCTCCTGTAGGACTGGGTTAGCTACATCGCTTCCATCTAATTAAAATCCATTCCAGTACATCGCAATGGTGGACATCCTAGTCTGGTGACCACATTGCAAAATGATCGATAGAATTCGATTGGCACTTACTACTAGGCTACATTAAATTGGTTATCCCCGGTTAACCAATTAAAGTCTAAAGATGTTGGAATAGCCTGAATATTGAAAGTGGGATGAACAGAATTAGTGTTAAATTGAATAAACTGTTAAAAAGGTTTCTGTTGATTTTGTAAGTGAGAGATACAACGTAATTTTGTTGGAATCCAAACAAGTATAAACCATGGGGTATTGTTTCATAAGACTTTGAGTACATACACTGTAAATATTGTGTTCAGGATGAATCAGTGCCAATTTAGACACAAAAGCTACATGTAACAACACTCCTGTAGACGTCACAAGTGTTTAAGGCTGAAATCAGTTCAAAACTTTGTAATATATTGCAGAATGGCTACTACAGTCGTGCTCATACTCCGTAGTTTATAATATTTCTTCAAATATAATGGTTCAACAATACAAAAAGCTAACTAAAGACAGCTAATTAGTACAGTGAGATGATTAGAGACAACTTGAATGGAAGCTCTTATCATTGTCAGTATATATGGTGGAAGTAAAATGTAGCCTCTTGATTGAAAGGATTTTAGCTGCAGAAGTAATTCTTAGACAACTTACGCCAACACGGTTTACTGTTTATTCACTCCAAACAGATCGGTTTGGAAATCCCCAAAAATAGTCTGTACTTAACCACTTGTTTTCATTTTCTTATATGACTTCATTAAGATTTCTCGAGAACTGAGAAGTAGCAAAGACCCTTCGACGGTTAAGAAA